TTTATATTGTTTGAAAAACAACTACTCCCCCTTTTTTTAATGTCATTTTGACTTTCCCAATAATTAACTAAATAAATGAGATCTTTTGTACATATTTTTTCATTATTACTTTTATCTGATTAATAAATACACTGTGTGGCGCCTCAATCAAGCGTAATTAATTGTATGCATATTTATTTATTTTAGCTCGACATTTTAATTTTATTAAAATGGCAATTAAGTGGATGTTCCTCGTCCATTTAATTTTATTAATGAAGAATATATATGTGGAAATTTATTTAGATGTCCCCATCTATTTAATTTTCTAATTAAAAATCTCTTTAATCATAATTTTAATTAATTAATTAAGATATTCTCGTCCATTTAATTTTATTAATGAAGAATATATATATATATGGGAATTTATTTAGACTAGTTATCATCCTGTGCATATGCACAGATATACATAAAATATTATAAGTAATATGTGTGAATTCAATATAAAAATTACAGATGATAAACATTTCACATTTTCAAGATATGTGAATTTAATATTAAAATTTTAGATAATAAACATATCACATTTTCAAGATATGTGAATTTTATATTAAAGTTCTAGATAATGGACATACCACATTTTCAAGATTTAATCATTAGTAAAAATAAAAATAATATTTATATAAATTATTTGAGTACACATGAGTTACTATATTGATTAAAAAAAAATTTGAGTAATGTAATTTTTATAATTTGGAGGAATCACGGTCAAATAATTTACTTGAAAACTTTATTATTATTATTATTATTATTATTATTATTACTATTCTTATTAGATTTTAATGTTTTTTTACTATAGTATTAAAACTATTTACTAATTATTTCTAAAGAAAATTGTTTCATGAAATACAAACTTAAAATAATAATAATAATAATAATAATAATAATAATAATAATAATAATAATATCATTCATAAAACCTAATTAAGTGTAATCATGTATTTATAAAACCTAATTAATAAAACCTCATTTATTTTCCCTCCAAAAGAAGTTACAAAATTTGTCATTCATATTTTGCCTTTCACATTAATGCACCATATTAAGTGTAATCATGTATATTTTTTGCTATTATATTATATAATAGCTAATGCTATTACCAACTTATAATATTTCACACTAAATATAAATCACATAAGTATAAACAATTTTATTGTTTCAAGATATTGTTATTATTATTCTTATTATTATTATTATTATTATTATTATTATTATTATTATTATTATTATTATTATTATTATAGTATTTAGTGCTATTTTTTTGCTATTATATTATATAATAGTTAATGCTATTAATTTTTTTACATGATTACACTTAATAGGGGTGTATTAATGTGAAAGGTAAAATATGAATGAAAAATTTTGTAACTTCTTTTGGAGGGAAAATAAATGAGGTTTTATTAATTAGGTTTTATTATGAGGTTTTATTTAATGATTAGCTAGCAATTATATATATATAGATAATGATGTGATAAAGTAATATAATTTGTAAAACAACGTAAATAAATTCTCAAAAAATAAAATACATTTTCTTTCTAATAAAAAAGAGAATATAATACATCTTTTTATTATAGTATAGGAAGATGCTACGGTCCCGTTACTGAACAATTTCGTCGGGGTTTTTAACCGTTAAATCAACTATCTCTGACGGTTACATCAGTGGCGGAACCACATATGGCCCGTAGGGGCACGGGCCCCTGTAAAATTTTGTGATATAATATATATATATATATATATATGTATAAATGTATTATTATTTTGAAATAAAAAAAAAATACATGTTATTAATTATTATACAAATTATTTCTCAAAAAATAAAATACATTTTCTTTCTAATAAAAAGAGAATATAATACATCTTTTTATTATAGTATAGGAAGATGCTACGGTCCCGTTACTGAACAATTTCGTCAGAGTTTTTAACCGTTAAATCAACTATCTCTGACGGTTACATCAGTGGCGGAACCACATATGGGCCCGTAGGGGCACGGGCCCCTGTAAAATTTTGTGATATAATATATAT